ACAAAAGAGTAATACAAGTCACGTTTGACTTCCGCAATTACAAGAGGTGCTCAAAGTGGTTACCATCAGCGTCCAGACACTTCTGATTACAGCAAACTACTGTGTGAGCAACATTGACCAAAGTGTTCACTTGAATACATTTTTTTGGCACCCCCAGTATTTTTTTTTAATCTCACAGTCTACTTAGGGTTAATATTTGTACCATGTTATATAAAATGTAGAAACAACAACATAATCAAAACATATAGGTCCATTTACCACTCCCACCCCTGCTGCTCTTTACATTATAATTGTCATCTACATACATTAAAAGTCCCACAAGACAATCTTGAAATGTTTTCTTTAAATAGTCATATGTACTTTCAAGATATTAAGAGGAAAATGTTTTATGTGAACTTAAAATTGTTACCATTTCTCTTGCTCTCCCTGCATTCCTGAAGACCCAAGTTTCCCTGGGTATCATTCCATTAGCCTGAAGAACTTCCTTTAGCATTTCTTGTAATGCAGGCCTTCTGGCAATAAATTCCCTTAATTTTCCTTTATCAGAGAAATGTCTATATTTTGCCTTCATTCCTGAAAGATATTTTTACTGGATAAACAATTCAGGTTTATAGATTTCTTTTTTTTCAGCACTTTAAAGATGTTTCATTGTCTTCTGGTTGCCATGGTTTCTGGTGAGAATTCCCACAGTTATTTGAATCATTGTTATGTTGTGTATATACTGTGTGATTTTTCTGGCTGCTTTCAAGATTTTGTCATTATCTTTGGTTTTTTAGCTTGACTATGATGTGCCTGGACATGATTCTCCCCCCCAATTTATCATTTTTGAGACTCTCTAAACTCCTTAAATCTGTAAATTTGTGTCTCACTATTATTTGGGAAGCTTTTAGCCACAATTCTTTAAACATTTCCTGTCCTTTTTCCTTTCCTCCTAGGGCTACAATTACTTGTAGTAGAACTTGTGAAGTTGTCCCACAGGTTCCTGAGCCTCTGTTCATTGTTTTCCCATTTTTTTTCTGTGTTCTTTAAATTCATTGATTATTTCATTTGTCATCATCATTCTGAAAAACAAACAAACCTCTAAGTGATTTTTTTTCTGATATTGTATTTTTGCTCTACAATTTTGTTATTAATCTGCCTTTCATACTTTCTAATTCTCAGCTGAGATGTCTTATCTTTTTATTCATGATGAGCATATTTTTCTTTATCTCATTGAGCATAAGTATAATAGCTGCTTAAAAGTTTGGGTCATCCTCAGGTTGGCAACTTTTTCCTCCATGAAAATGGGTCACATTTCCCTAGCTCTTTGTGTATGTCTAGTAGTTTTGCATTATGTATATTATGTATTTACATATGTATATTATGAATGTTATGATGTAGAGACTGTAGATTCTGTTACATTGATCCAGAGTGTTGATGCTTTTGATTTAGTAGGAAGTTAACTTGGTTAGACTCAACCTGCAGACACTGTCCTCTCTGCAGTGGGCAATAGCTCTGATTTCACTTCATGTGGTTTTCAGTCTGTCTCATACATGCATGTTTCAAGAATCATCCAGAGAATTGAGAAAAGTGTACACCCAGAATTTGGGATTTTCTTTCCCTTGTTCTTTCTAACTCTCCAGCCACCCTGATTATTCTGGATTCCTTCCCTTGGTCCCTCCAGCCAGAAAGAGGGTGGGTTTTTCAATTGGAGCTTTAGCCAAGGGGAACTCTATAAACTGCAAAAGGTAAAACTCGCCTCTTGTTATTCAGTTTCTGGAATTTTTAGGTAGTTTTTTTTCTTTATTTTCTTTCCTCTTCTTTTCTCCCTCCTCCACCCCCCCACCCCCACCCAGTTCTCCTCTAGCATTTTATTATTTGCTGAAGAGTCCATTTGTTGGAAGCACACTCCTCCGACCAAAAGTGGAACCTTCAGCTTATTATCCTTAATCAATAGCTTTATAAAACAGACCTTAAGACTGCTCTACTCCATCTTCATACCCCCTTTTCATACAGTTCTTTCAATACTTTTTTTCACATCACCATCTTCTAGTACATCTTATTTTATTTTATAAGTGAAGGCATCATTAATAACTATTAAAGTTTTCTAGTTTTTCCTAGTAGGCCCTCAACCTTCATCTCTCATTCTGTCTTAATTCTCTACCATATTTTTCCCCAGGTCTTTCTTCTCTGTTTTAAATTGCTATTTCTAGCTCCAGGAGCATTTCCTCTCCGCCAGTCTCCTGGAATAATGAACAGACAAAATGTGTTCCTTTGTGCTTTCTTACAATTGGAACAAACCCACTAAACTAGGGAAGAGGTCTGAACTGCTCCTAACATACTCATCCTTTAAGAGGGACCAGTAAATGAGGTGGGCTGGTCCCCTGCGTGATTTATACAGCTTTCTTTTTTGCAGGTATATTTCTGAATACTGTTATGGGTATTCAAATTAATATTCCCATGTGTCTTAGCTTACTTAGGCAGCTATAACAAAATACTATAGACTGGGTAGCTTAAACAACAGACATTTATTTCTCACAGTTCCAGAGGCTGGGAAGCCCAAGATCAAGGTGCTGGCAGATTTAGTTTCAAGTGAAAATCCTCTTACTGTCTTGCAAATAGCTGCCTCTCACTGTGTCTGAGAGGGAAAGAGAAAAAGAGAGAGAGAGAGAGAGAGAGAGAGAGAGAGAGAGAGAGAGAGACAGAGACAGAGACAGAGAGAGAGAGCGCGCGC